TCTCCTGTAGGTCTCCGTGGAGCAGTGGGAGGGTCATCTGTGGTTTCCACCCTCCTGTAAACAGAAGGGGAAAGCCACAGCTTTATAGAAAAGATAGAATAAACACGAGACCTCTGTATTTGAGGTGACAATTTCCTGAGCCATTGAAGAGAGACCTTTGCATGTTTCTCATTCTAATAGAAACCAGCTGACGGGAAGGGAGAGGGTAGAGCAGAGCGCTCTCCAGCAGCACCGGCTACTGAGAGCCAGGCCACTGTGCTAACGCCTTTCAAACGTTAGCCCTTCGAATGCTTGAAACCATTCTGCCATCAGTGTTATTGCTCAGTTTCCAGGTGAGGACTTTTCCTCAGGTTCACACAGTTTGTACACGGAGGAGCTGGGGTTTGAAACGCAGGTTCTCCAATTCTTGAGTCCATCCCTTGTTTACTGAGCAGCCACCGGTACAGCTGTGTCTGTCTGTGCCACCGCCTGTGGAAATCACGGCCCTGCCTGGCTCTGAAAGTGGTGATCCGTTCTCCAGGCCACTGGGGCCCTCCTGGGACCAGAACAAGACCGTGGTCTGTGCATAAGCGGGAGAGTGCCCGCTTCCCCTGTGCCACCCTGTGCCAGGTGGGGTTCTGAGTCATGTTGCTTGTGCTCCTCCTGGAAAGAGGGCTTTGGCTCCTGTCAGCCTCTCTGTTCCCTGTTCAGGGGGGACTAGACAGTTCAGGGGGGACTAGACAGGCGTCTCTCTGCCTCCTCCATTTTCCTGGCTCTGATACAGCAGAGACTGGGGGCTGGTCTGCTTATGGAAAATGCCAATTGAAATGGGACATTCCAAACAATGATACAAGTGTGTGTATAAACATTCTAAGACCTATCAATGTACATTCTTTCACCACTCTTATGATGTAAAAGTCCCCTTTGAGTAGAGAACACACATTGGAGTTATATTAGCCTTCTTATGTAATCACAACCTAAATGCATATCTGTGGGTTCTGTGTCATTTTGAAAAATCAGATATGTGAAATGATGGATGTTTAAAGATATTTTTTTCTAATCTCCAAGAATCATCTTGCCCACACCTAAATTTTTTTTTTTCCTTTTTTGCAACTCACTCTTATGGAATCTTTCCAAAGCAGTTAACCTAGTTTTCCTAGTAATAATAACTCCTTGCTGCAAACCTATCAGCTCATGTATTTTTAAATTAAAGGACATAATTAGAGTAACAGATATAATTGCTGCAAAAGGGTTTGGGAACAACCATGACTGCTTCTCGTTGACTGGGAGCAGCTGTGCACCCACCAGCCGTGTGTCCTGTGCCCTGAGTGACCTGCTGCAGGCAGGTACTCAGGATGCTTCCCAGGGGTGGGAAACCTGAGCATCTAGTGAGTCCAGCTAGCTGCAGGCCGCGGGCCACTGTCTGCTGTGTGAACCGCATCCCTCATTATTCAGCCCCCGAGAGGCCCCACGCAGATGCATCCGTGAGCCGGGAAGGGCTTGGCCCAGTTGGTTAGACATGCTTAGACCGGCCAGCATCCCCAAAGTAGGGCAGACCGAACATATTCACAATCTTCAAATAATTAAAGAAAACACAGAACTTGTTTTTTTTTTTTTGCCCCTGCGGGTGAACAGAAGTATCCTGCCTGTTTTCACATATAAACTGCTTGATTTACAGTCCGGAAGCACAGAATCAGAAAAATGGCTTCTGTTTCCTTGTCTGTGAGGCCTCCAAGCCAGAATTTACAATTAACTTTTACTTTAGTGCCACCAAGTGGTTAGTTGTGAGATACCACTCTGGAAAAGAAGGCCGAAGAAACAAATAGTAATAACAAGGTATCTGGGCTGAATAGGCAGAGCACAGGATTTTTAGGGCAGTGAATCTCTTTTGTATGACATTACAATAGTGGATACATGTCATTATTTATTTGTCCAAACCCACCAAATGTACACCACCAAGAGTGAACCCTAACCTAAACCATGAGCTCTAGGTGGTAATGTATCAGTGTAGTTTTATTGGCTGTAACAGTGTGCCACTGATAGTGAGGAAGGTGATGCGTATGTGTGGGTGGGGTGTATGGGAAACCTCCGTAATTTCTGCTCACTTTTGCTGTGAACCTAAAACTGCTTTAAAAGATTTTATTGCCCCAGCTGGGTGGCTCAGTTCGTTGGAGCGTTGTCCTGTATAACCAATCGATGTTTCTCTCTCATATCCATGTTTCTCTCTCTCACATCAATAAACATATCCTTGGGGGAGCATTAAATAAAAAACTTATTAATTAAAAAAAATCTTTATCTGGCCAGTGTGGCTCAGTGGTTGAGTGTTGACCCATGTACCAAGAGGTCTCTGGTTCGATTCCCGGTCAGGGCACATGCCCAGGTTGTGGCTTGATCCCCAGTGGGGGGGCATGCAGGTGGCAACCAATCCATGTTCTCTCTATCGATGTTTCTATTTGTCTCTCCCTCTCACTTCTTCTCTCTCTAAAATCAATAAAGGAAAAAAATTAAAAAAATATTTTATTCTACATATTTTCCCCTTGGAACAGCTGGTGTTACAGATAAGAGCGAGGTAAGATAGACACCCTTTGGGGGGCTGGCTGACTTCTCAAGCATGGGTGACAATCCCTTTATGAAGCACCCACAATCCAGAATCTGGGTCCTTAGCTTTGTAAATCCCAGAAACTTTTTATTTTTTCAGTGCATCTAGAGCTGTTCAGTTTTCCAGGGTGATATCATGCTCACCAAACCTACCAGAGACTTCTTACTAAGTCAGAATGACAGCGTATCACTTTGCAGTTGGAAATGTCTATGTAGTGGTGGACCAAAACACACGTTAGCTGAGCAGTTCATGTCCCACCCAGCAGGGAATTTATATGGGAAGACGAAGTATACCGAGTAGGTCATTTGGTGAAATCTCAGGGGTGTGGTGTATGTGTGGTATGGGGGGTGGGGAGCATGAGGTTGTTTATTAAGCTGACACTGTCTTCACCACCGCAGGTCTATATATAACTCAGCTGAGAACACTCATGCTGCCAAGCGTACAGAATCCTGGACAGTGCAGATGACAGAGTGACCTTGTCAGCTTCTTTGGGCCCCTTTCTGGAAAGTCTGTGCTGGGCATCTTTGCTTTTGTCAATCCCTTCTCCTCAAACCCGACACAGTGTGACTGGCAAGACCAGGGCTGCAGACGTGCCGCTGTAGCTCGTCTCTTGAGAACTGGTCACTGCAATCAGCATCAGCATCAGCAGTCACCATTTATAGGTTTTGGCTTAAGGGATCTGCTCTACTTTACCTCATGATAATTTCCAATTCTTTCATTCTCAGAGGCAAACATGTTTTTGGCCATTCTGTCCTCGAATGCAGGTTAAAGCTAATATGTAAAATCCTTAATCACTTTGGAGTAGATTCTTAATAGCAAAACCGTACTTGCTAAAGATGAGGATTACCCTGGGTTCCGAGTCAGTGAGCGTGCGTCGGTGCGGGCCGCGTGGCGGCTGTGTCTGGAGAGCTTGTGCGGACCCCACCACCTACTTGCATGTCCCAGCCTGACCCGTGATTGCTCATGATAGCTCAGTTATCTCCAGTTCTTTAAAAAAAAATTTATTTTCTTTATTGATTTTAGAGAGAGAAGGGAAAAGGAGGGAGAGAGACAAACATTGAAGAGAGAGAACATCAACTGGCCGCCTCCTGCACGTCCCCTACTGGGGATTTGGCCCACAACCTGGGCATGTGCCCTGGCTGGGAATCGAACCAGTGACCTCTTGGTGCATGGGTGATGCTCAACCACTGAGCCACACCGGCCGGCTATGTCCAGTTCTTGATGCAGCATCTCCCCACCCCGCCTCTGTCCTTGCCCCATACTGCTTCCACATCGAGTCTTCAGTCAAGGGGACTTGGAGAATATTTGCAGAAGTTATAAATGGGTGGCTTGTGGTTGGAATCTGACCTACGGACATCTTTTATTTTGGCCAAAATGTGTTTAACTCAATGGACAAAACTTAAAAATCAGAAGATTCATTTAAAAACTCCGAGTATCCAGTTTCAAGTAGATCTGGCAATGCAGGGCCTTCAGGCCCAAGGGAGCCAGTGATTGAAGTGGGCTGGGGAGGGCGAGCCCCTTCCGGTTGTCCTCAGTCCCCACCCCACCCTTTCACTCATTTATGTCACTGCTTGGTGTTCGGGGGCGACTCTTTGTGACTTGGAAAGTCAAAACCAAAAGTAAAGCACAGACACAAACCGAGCGTGAGGAAAGGGGTGACGTCCCATGGGTCCTGCGCCCGGCCTCCCGCCTGCCCCCTGCGGGGAGGGCCTTCCTGGGGCCCCTTCCCAGCCTCTTTTTCTTCAGAACCTGCTTCTCTCACGGGGTCACCTCTGAATGTATCCTTCGTGCTTCCAAGAGGTGTGGTGTCGGGGTGCTGTTGAGGAAAGCGTGCAGACGTTGGGGTCACAGACTTGGGTTTGAATCCCAGCTCTGTGCCTTCGTGAGTTGAGTTCCCTTTTCTGTAAAATGAAGGCTGTGCCTCACCTCACAGGCTGGGCTGAGTGCTGAATGGGGTTTCATGTGCAAAGCATCAGACAGAAGGTAGGTACTCAGGTAAGTGTCTCTGTCCTTTTTTTACGTTTATTTGAAGAATCAAGATATGGCTCTTTCCCTTCTTCATGACCTTGAAGAAGTTCAACTGAACCACCTCTGCTTTCCCGCCACGTACACCCCTTTACTCTTCCTGTAAAGCCAACTGTTATAATTTTTATTCCTGATAACTTCCAGTCTTTCCCATCTGTACGTTCCAAATATTTCCCTTTCCTTTCTGTACCCAGACCTCTCCTAGAGACTCCCGGATGAGACTCACACAAGGCAGGTGAACTCGTTTGGGGAAGTTTTATAAGGAGTTATACCTTTTGTGAAATCTCTGCAATAATTGTACGGAGCTTTGTGATGGAAACGACTTCAGCTTTTACAGCAGTCTGTTGGGATTCTTTCTGAATATGAACACCTCTCCCCTTCTGTTATATCTTGATAGAAACAGAGCCAAGGTCAAAAGCTGGAAGTTCCTCGACGGAAAAAATTGGTACCGGAAGGGAGACACTTCGCCTGAGATCGAAGGGTCCTGCCACCGTGGAAGAAGTGGTATGTTATGTTCATTTAGTCCCTATTCCGCTTGGACACGTATGGACATTTATGGTTATCAGAGCTAGAAAGAGAGATAAAACCGTGAGGTTAAATGTGATGCATGCGTTCCAATTAAAGCATGGACTAATTCATTGCCTGTTTAATCAATATGAAAATTACTGAAGGCTTTAAGAAGAAATATAGAAAGTAAGGGCGTGAGAAGACACTGGTCTGTCGCAATCCCCAGCTACCTGCAGACAGTTGCAGTCTGTAGACGTCTGAACAGGCTCAGAAATGTTCAAGATGTCAAGCCAAGCTCTGAGAGCCAAGAAAAAGTCTCAGAGCCACCTAAGTATGTTAATGAGTAAACATACTTAAGATTTGGGTAAGGAAAGGTAATATTCATGAATTTCAGTCTCTACAGGTGATATATTTTATAGCCATCTGGGCCTGTTCTCTGTCATGTCCCACATCCCTTCCATCAGCAAATCCTGGTAGATTATGTCCACAACAGGCCAGAATCCAACAGCTCACCACCTCTACTCCCCCCACCTGGCCCAAGGCTCCAGTGTCTCATCTTGAACATTGCAATCACCTCGTCTGTCTTCCCGCATCCACCCTGGCCCCCTGCCCTCTGCTCAGCACAGCAGCCAGGATGATCATTCAAAACACCAATGAGGTTATGTTCCTTTTTCTGTTCAAAACCCTCCAGTAGCTTTCCATGTCACTCAGACCAAACGCAGAAGTCCTCAGAATGACTGACATGATCTGACTCTGCATTTCTTCTCTGACCCCATTTCCTACCACTCTGTCCCTGTCTTCCTCTGCGTCAGCCACGTGGGTCTCTTTGCTGTCCCTAAACACTCCAGATGCCACCACAGGGTCTTCGCATGGCTGTTTCCTCCACCTGAACGCTCAGCTCATTTACAGGCATGGCTGCCTCCCTTACCTTCCTCAGGTTTCTGCCCACATATCACCTTCTCTGAAAGGACTCTTGAGTATCTTGTATAAATAGCTGTTCCTGCCACCCCTCCAACTGCCTAATCTTTCTTCCCTTAATTTTCTTCAAAGCGCTAAACACAGCAGGACTCACTGTGTCCTTGTTCCTTTGGTGTGTTGTCTAGCTCCTTGGCTCACATGTCTTGCTCTCTGCGGTATCCCCAGCACCAGACACATCAAAGGAGCTCAAGTCTTTGCTGAATTAATGCATTAAAAATTACTCATTTAAGCTCGAGAGGAGCAAGGATTTCACTAATTGACTGCGTCAGTATTTGAGGAGAAGAGACAAATGGGAGGAAGACGGGTGAACAAAGAGGGCGGCAGCGGTTAGGCCGGATTCGAAGTGGCAGGCGCAGATCAGGCTGCTCCCAGCAGCCAGGGCAGTGGTGATGCAGTCGTCCTGCAGGCGCAGGGCCCAGGCAGCACCTGAGGCCGGCAGCTCCTGAAGGCAGGGCCACGGGCACTGGGCGCGGCCGGGCCCTCTGTGTGTGCAGGTGGTCCAAGGCTTCCCCAGCTGTTTGAAAAGCGAGAGTGAAACAGGTGAACCATCAGGAGGCGCTTTCTACAGAGCCGGATCCCAGAGCTTGTGGGGTGACCATGGTCCGAGTCAGCCGTGGGGGTGGCTTGATGGAGTAGACTCTCAAGGAACCACGAGGCCACGAGTGTCCTGAATGTTGGAGTCACCCAGGATGTTGTCAGCTTTGGGGACTTGACAGGAAGGTTTTGAGGCCGGTACCTTGATTCAGGGTGCATGAGAGGATTGATTTGGAGGCAAAGGGTAAAGAAGAGACCTGGGAGAGCCCGAAGGCATTTTGAAAATGAGATATGCTGAGGCATGTAAAAAGAAAACCCCAGCCCTGGCCAGCGGTTGGAGCGCCGGCCTGCGGACCAGAGAGTCCTGGGTTTGGTTCCCGCTAGGGGCATGTACCAAACCCCCCCCCAAAAAAACCCCACAAACAAACCCCCAAAAACCCAGGGAAGTGACTTCTGGCCATTCCGAGTCTTTACCTTTCCTGTGTCCAGCACACTGCCAGGCATATTGCCGAAGGTCAGTAAATGTTTATTGAATTAATGAGCAAACCTCAGTGGAAGAGAGGAAGGGTAAGAGAATGGAAGACTGGGAGGGAGCTGGCAGCGAGGAGCTAGGGGAACGAGGCTATGACACAGGACAGATCTTAATACGGCTTGCAAAGGAGGCAAGGGGGGCAGGGACAACTCCAAGGCACTTCAAGAGAACTGTCATCTTCTAATAGTAAACATGGCAAATAAATATGTTTGAGCACCTGCTGTGTAGAAGCCGCTGGTGTGCAAAGAGCAGCTGCAGGTCTATCTAGGGAGGCAGGGAAGATTCATTCACAGATAAACATCGGAAACTCCATTCCCATTCGCATAGCCTATTTCACTAAATAGGGCAATTAAAATAGCTCCCAAATGAAAGGAAAAAGCTAGTTTGGTGCTAACATTAAATCGGATACAAATGACTTACGATCTATTTCAAACACTAAAGGATTTATAGATTTCAACAAATCACCCTGCACAACCCAGCACTTCTGATGTTAACTAGACTCACTGTGGTGATGATTTCGTGAACGACGCTCCACCTAGGAACCTCATAATTTGTTCAGTATGTGTTTGTTGAGACAGGCGTGGTCCAGGTACTGATAGGGTACAACGGTGAATCAAGACCTCATTTTCCTCTGAAAGGAGGGAGGCATGAGGAGAAGTTATGACAGTCCAGGAGGAAAGGGTGATATCACAAAGCGATCAGCTGCTGTCAGGGGTCAGGAGAGGCGGGAGGTCAGAGAGAGCTCCTTCCAGGAGAAGTGATCGAGCTGGTTAAAGATGGAGAGAAGAGTGTTCTGGGCATGAAACAATGACAGGCCTGGGGGCCTTCTGAGCGTCTGTGGATGGAAGTGTGCGTGGTGGAGGTAGGTGGTGGGGACGGTGAGGCTGGAGCTGTAGGCCTGGGTCAGGCGGTGAAGGGCCTGGAGATAGTGGGGGAGCCATTTAAGACCTGTGAGGGGAGCGGCACAGTTTTGCGTTTTAGAAAAATCTCCTGGATCTGGGGCATGGGTTGTTGATCAGGGTGGATTTGAGAGACTGAAGATAGTAGTCAGGGAGACAAAGTAGGGAACAGCTGCTAATGAGGAAAGATGGAGACTAGAATTCAACCATAAGAAGGAAGGAAATCCTGCCATTTGCAACATCATGGATGGAACTTGAGGGCATTATGCTAAATGAAATAAGTCAGACAAAGACAAATACCGTATGATCTCACTTACATGTTGAATCTAAAGAAAAAACAAAAGAGAACAAAACAAACTCAAACTCATAGGTCCAGAGAACAGATTGGTGGTTGTCAGAGGCAAGGGTTGATGGGAAAAATGGATAAAGGTGGTCAAAAGGTACAAACTTCTGATTATAAATACTTCCTGGGGACGTAGTGTAAAGCATAGTGACTATGGTTAATGATACTATATTGTATATTTGAAAGTTGCTGAACAGTATATCTTAAAAGTTCACATTATAAAAAATAAAAATGACTAGCTATGTGTGGTGAGGGGTGTTATATAGACTTACTGTGGCGATCATTTTGCAATACCTGCATGTATTGTGTCATTATGTTGTACACTTGAAACTAATGTAATGTTATGCCAAGTATGTCTCAATAGAAAAATAAAGGAAAAGATGAGGACTGAACCAGGCAGTCAGTATGTGAATGGAAGAGACATGATAACCTGGAGAGTCACTTAGAATAGTGAAATTGTGATGGACATTTTTAAATTTTTTATCCTCACCCGAGGATATTTTTCCATTTATCTTCAGATAGAGTGGGAGAGATGGAGGGAGGGAGGGGAGAGAGAGAGAGAGAGAGAGAGAGAGAGAGAGAGAGAGAAACATTGATGTGAGAGAGACCCATCTACTGGCTGCCTCCCGTAAGACCCCGACTGGGGCTGGGGACCGAACCACAACTGAGGTATGTGTCCTTGACTGGAATCAAACCCGTGACTTGTTGGTCTGTGGGCTGACACTCTAACCGCTGAACCAAACCAGCCAGGGCCCGTGGTGGACATTTTGTGTGGGGAGTACACAGTGCTTGTTGCGATGACTCACACAGTGGCTGGGTGGATGCAAAGGTAAGCCCCTGTGTTACTGTGCACAGCCTGTTGCTTTACACAGACCATTCAGAAGACAATGCAGAGAAGGCAAGAGTGATGTAGCGTGTCTGTTCTTGTTTTAAAGGCTTAGTTAATATAAATAAAAATATGAGAAAGTCATAACAATATACTTGAGGAAATAACATTTTATTTGCAATGAAATGCATATTTTAAATAAGTTTGGAGACTACAAAGCAATATACATTCATGACAATATTAAAGTATCATCAATCCTTACAATGTAATTGTGAATTTAGCATTTGCAGTGATAGTTACTTAACATCTTTGGGCATATCTTGTATTATTATTTATTAAGTATTGTATTTTCTATACAAACAACTGTAAACCTACTTTGGCCCCACCTTGTATATCCCATCATGCTTTTCACTTGAGTTTTACCATTATATTAGTTTGAGGTGTCCAACATAATGATTTTTTTTTTTTTTTTTAATCCTCAACTGAGGACATTTTTCCATTTTTTGTTCAGATAGAGTGGGAGGGAGAGAGAGGAAGAGAGAGAGAGAGAAACATCGACGTGAAGGGACACATCGAGTGGCTGCCACCCGCACAACCAACCAGGGCCGGGGACAAACTGCAACCGAGGTACGTGCCCTTAGCGGGAACCGAACCCGGGTCTTTCTGTACCGCAGGCCGACGCTCCAACCGCTGAGCCAAACCGGCCAGGGCCAACATAATGATTTGGTATTTGTATATATTGCAGTTCACTGAAACTTTTAATAACAGTTTTAGAAAGAGTACAAATAATTTGGTACAATTAATACGTAAGACAGATATTACTTAAAAAATACTTCATCATGACCTTATTTTTCTAAAAATTCTATTTTTGAATATTTTATAATGTGCACAACAAATTAATATGGTAATACATATGCATAATTGACACAAGATGCAAATAATAAAATTAAATAAAAGCTAACCAGTAAGGGTATTGGTTATTTCTAATGGGGTGAGCCATGAAAAGGTTTGGAGACTCTGGCCTGCAGGACAAAGAGCAGAGGCCTTTTCACGGCACCCAGGACCCTTAAGATCTAGTCCTGCTGACGCCGTTTCTCATCACAACGGATTTTGCAGTCCCTAGAACATGCTGTAATCCTTTATCAGACTTGACAACCCCTGTAGACTTTGCATATTTGTTGCCTTCTATGTGCAGTGCCCTCTCCTGCGTTTCTGACACCAGCTCATCTTTGAAAACACAGTTCTTGTCACCTTCTTTCTGAAGTCTTCCATGACTCTTAGAGATTTAAATTTACTTCCTCCGTGATGTCTCTGTGCCTTAAATATCCTTAAAAAATGGTCTTTATTATGGTCATGTAGCTATTTATTTTCACATCTGTATCCTCTTCTAACTTGTTAGCTATTGGAGATGGTGTTCTTGGCTTTTCTTTGACTCCATAATGCAACACAGACACTAAAAAGAAGTATTTACTGTACAGATTTGTATTGAGTTGCAGAGCACATTCGAGACATATTTCCGTTCAAATTAGCTGAAGTGAACACCCATGAACTGGCTCCACCTCAGATACCCCCTGTTTATACCTTGACAGTCAAGGGATTTCATATAGAAGTATAATGTCTTATTTCTCTTATCTTTGATAAAGCCCTCTGAAGCCAAAGCCAAGGCAATCGAAAAGGTTGATGATCTGCTTGAATTGTACATGGGGATTCGAGATATTGATTTAGGTAAGAGTATACTGTTTTTAAAAGTCTTATATTTTTTAATTTGATGGAATGTAATGCTTACTTATGTCTTTTTTTGCATTGGGAGTTAATGATAATTTTCAAGATAGAAAGTAATTGTATAGTAATGGAAAGCATAATGAAAATAGAGATAATAAAGAATAATGCAAAGTAGACCTGGCCTTTACCACTTACTAGCTATGAAGTCAGCATTTCTAAATTCCATTTTTCATCTATTAACTATACTCCACCCAACTGAGCCATACTGGCCAGGGCCAGTACCATGCTGTTTTAATTACTATGGCCTTGTAGTGTAGTTTGATTTCTCCAACTTTGGAGAACCTTATTTTTTACAGGTGAAAACTTGAAACAGTCCTCAAGTTTAAAACTGATTTTAGGTAGAGGCCCTATTTAAGTATAAATTCAGAATAGTTCAGTAAATTAGTTTTGCTCTTTTGTTACTAAAAATATGCAAGTATATAGGGAAGAGTATTGTACAGTGGTAAAAGTGACTATAAGTAGATTAATATACATTTTTAAAATATCAATTTTGTTTTTCATGCTGAAAAATTTGGGGAACTAAACGTTCTTCATAAATTTCTTATAAATTAACTAGTAATCCCTTTATAATTACTCATCTGTAGCAAATTCCTCTAATGACATGAAAAGTCATTATTATTGTACATGATTAGCAATGTGATCAGTCACCAAGGGAGGTAAAGTTAAAAAAATTTATTTCAAGAATACAACCATTGTTGCATTAGGAATTTCTCTTATTCAGATCTGATTAGCATGAAATCTAAATCACAAATGTTACATTTCTCCAACAGATGAATTATTTATTTGTTTGTATTTCCGTGTTTCTTAGTTTTCAGAAATGTTCATTCTTAATAAAAATTACATTGACATGTTATTCTGGAGATGTTAATGTAAGTTTATATTAAAAATTAAAGTAACATGGCAAAAAACCAAAAAAACAAAAACAAAAACAAACAAACAAAAAAACTAAAACCAAAACAGCATTGGTATGTGTTTACCATTTGAAAGTGAAAAATAATTCAAAGGAGTTTATGGAGCAAGTAACCTTGACGATAAAAGTGCTCTGTTTGGTTGTAAAGCTATGCTGTGAACTATGACTTTTCAAATGACCCAGTGCCAAACGGTTGCCTTCGAATGTTACTCATTGGGAAAAAATAACTTTCTGGAAGATACAGAGTTAAGACCTTTTATAGGATTGACTTGACTTAATAGAAAATCGTATCATATAAATTTGTTAATGAATATTAAATTGTATATGGAACTATAATATTTTCTGATGATAGCAATTTAGGAGTTTGGTGATTATTCTAACAGCTTTGGAATTTTTGGATTTATAATTTATAAAGAGATCCAGAAATGTGTAGTAAGGAAATATGAATGCTAAGTTTCTAAGTAATTTTTTTCTATAAAGTCTTTTTAGCTATTTTAAAAGTATATGATAATGGTATTTTAATAGAGATAATTACATTTCTTCCTAGGATGATTATTTTTTTCAGTGAATTTAAAACGATAAGCATTATAGAAAGTTATTCTTCTCAGATAAAGCCAATGAAGTTTTGGAAATAGATTTTATTTAAAAAAATCTACATTGGCTGTATTTTTATATTTGACTCATGTAAATTGTTTGAAATGAATTGATATTTATGAAAAGTCTTAGGGAAAATAAGCGTTGGAGGCCTTCCATAGAGATACAGTTACAGATTTAAAGTTTAAATTAACAGTGGTGATGGTTAATCTTTTTTTTTTTTTTTTTATCCTCACCCGAGGACATTTTTCCACTTTTTGTTCAGGTAGAGTGGGAGGGAGAGAGAGGAACAGAGAGAGAGAGAGAAACATCGATGTGAAAGGAACACATCGAGTGGCTGCCACCCGCACAACCGACCAGGGCCGGGGACAAACTGCAACCGAGGTACATGCCCTTAGCGGGAACCGAACCCGGGTCTCTCAGGACCGCAGGCCGACGCTCTAACCGCTGAGCCAAACCGGCCAGGGCGTGATGGTTAATCTTTATTTAAATTCTGCTATGTGCCATTTTATTAAGACAGATTCAGAGAAGTTCGGTAACTTGCTCAGTCAGCTAACACATTAAGAACCGAGATTCAATTCTGGCACTTTGATAACAAGATTTTTCACCTGCAGTAATATTATATGTCTAAAGTTCTTTTTAAGTATTTAATAACTTAGTGGAAAATAGAGATTGATCAATATCACCAAAATAAGTGTCATTAATAATGAAAAAGTTGTTCAGTTGCAGTGATATAAAGATATTCTTGAAATAGCCACAAGAGGTCAGCACTTAGCTGTTATATGTGGTATAACAATTCCAGTGCAGTATTTTTTGCCAGATTGTATTCAAATGTTAAATATTATTGCAGTATATTGCAGATCTATTATAGTTAACAGATGAGAAGCATTTTAGTAGCTGTTGTTATGTTAATGTGATACATTTTCCTAGTTCTTTTGCTTTTCTCTTAAATCAGATACAATCTTTTATGAAAAAGAAGACAATCATGTTGGTTTATTTCTCCTATAAGGAAGTTTCAAATCTATGTTTATACTTTATGTAGTAGCAAAAATTCATAATATGTTTGGTGCATGCTGCATTCTTAATTTCTGTTAAAATTTTTGTAGCACATTTCTGGTTTTTAAAAGATTTATGGAGCAGTATATTACACACAATATTTCCAACACAATTATGAAGCTGCCTGATTGGTATTTTTGTTGCTTATATAACACTAGGAGTTTCTTGAAGGCAGATACCATATCTTACTCAGTTTTTAATCCCAGCTCCTACCATGCTACTTATTCCATAGTAAATGCTTGCTAAACATTTGTTGATCAAATGTCTGATGAGAGGTACAGAAATGGTGAGTTTACAGGGAGTTTGAGTCCTCATTTCATTACTTTGAAGCTTTAGCCTTTGAGCAAATGATTAAACTTTGAGCCTTAATTTTCACATCTGTAAAATGGGGTACAATGAAACCTTATAGGGTTGTCAAAGCATTCATTAAATAATATGTGTTAAGTTCCTCTCACATAATAATTAACAGGCATAGCTACTATCATTCATAACCATGATAATTACTAATTATTACTAGTAATAATGGTAGTAAAGATAGAACATGCAGGGCTATATAATTGGAGGTCAGACCAATTCTGGGAGTTTTTCTTCACTTTTCTGCTGTGTGTACCAGCATGAGTGTATGAGTGAGATTATACAGCCTGGACTGTGAGGTTATAGTGTGGGGATCTTAAGCCATCATTTTTCTCATTTTGTGACTCAGGAACCCAAACCAGCAGTTACAAATGAGAGCAGCCAGGTCTGAACATGGTGTTCCTGAGCTCAGTACACCAAACAATGCTGCTGAGCTTCCTGAGGTACTAGAAAGCCATGTACCAAGTTCTTCCTTACAGCTGTGTGTGTGTGTGTGTGTGTGTGTGTGTGAGAGAGAGAGAGAGAGAGAGGGAGAGAGAGAGAGAGAGATTGGTTGATTCAGTGTCCATCAGTGAACATCTGAACCTTGTCATTGTTTCCCTCACTATTCAAGCACATCAGTCATCTGCACTGTTAGCCCTGGTGGGGTAGCCCAGTTGGTTAGAGTGTCATCCTGATACACCAAGGTAGTGGGTTCCAGCCCTGGTCAGGTCACAAACAAGGAGCAGCCAATGAATACATAAATAACTGGAACAACAAATAGATGATTCTCTCTTTCTTTCTCTCTAATCAATAAATAAAAATAAAAATAAAATAATCTGCATTGTTAGCTTCTGCCTCTGAATGGTCTGTAGATTTTTCTTATGCCTTTTACTTGTGTGTATCTTGTTTCTTCCTCAACTAGATTGGATCTCATCCACATGTCAGTATTATCTTTACATAACTGTCTCAATAAATGCTGTCAGTAGGGCCTATGAGAAATATTTTAAATGGTAGATATAGTAAAATTCTGAACTTGAGTCCTATTTATCTGTAAGTTCTGACTACTCTTTTGTACATCCTGGCTATGGGACCAGAGTTCTGGGCTTCACTTTGCCCAATGCATGCTAACTGTGCCAGTCCAAAAATTATTCAGAGTCTAATTACAAAGCCTCCTCCTGTGCCTACCCATCTATCAGCATTGACTCTGCCTAAAATACGAGTCTGCTCTTTAAGACCTGAGGAGACTTTGTTTTCTAATGGGGCAGAGAATGTGTCGGTGGAAATAATGATGAAACAGACAACACAGAGCAAAGTTACATACGTACTGTAGAACCTTATTACTCAAACTGGGAGCCGGAGGCTGGTAGTACTGGGGTCGTCGGGAATGCAGAGTCCCAGGCTTCGCTACAGAACTTCTGACCAGAATCTGCATTTTGCCAACATCCCGATGTGAAGGGTATTTGCACATCCACACGTGACGAGTGCTGGCAGGAGGCTTAGGGGGTGCAGGTATCACTCCCAATAGCGGACACAGCGTTTCCGGGGGAAGGAGCCTTGAAGGAGAGAAAAGATGTCGACAGTGGAGCTAGTCATTAGGAGGAGCTGATCTGGGCAAAGGCAGCAGGAGGAAAGATGGCGTTTTGAACGGTCAGCTTTATGAGGGCACTTGGGAGCCAGGGGTGATTTGGGTCAGAATGCAAGACTAGGGTTTAGAGTTGTTGGGATAAGCATTGGTGACCCCAGGAATATTTCCTCTACGGGAACCACATAGACCTTCTCAGCGGTAAAAAGGAGCTTCCCGGTCCTTTGGTCTCATTGTCTAATAGGATCCGAGTGTGCTTTAGGAAGAGAAAACGAATGTACCTGTGGGGGTGACTTGCTGACTAGGCTTGGAGTTGAAGGAAAAAGCATGGTGATGGTGGGAATAGAATGAAACGGAGCAGGTTACAGAGATGGCAAAGGTGGAATCAGGGCGGCAGTGTTTGGTACAGGCAAGAAGAAAAAGGTGAAAGTGAGAATGATCGCCCCGCTGACGGTGGTGGAAACA